CCTTACATAGACCCTCTTCTTTGAATTATTTAACCAAACAGTCTTTGTGTCATCTAAGCACTAAAAGCAGTCTTTTTCTCCTTTGCTCTGCCGAGACATGCTACTATGTCTTAGAATATCAGTAATAATGGTGAAGAGCATGTCACGTAGGTTGAAATGTTCTTTCCTAAACCCATCGTACACCCTGATACCCTCCTCTTTCTAGAGTTCTTTGAAATCATCAATAAGCAGCCTCAGATACACATCGATGGTAACACCTGGTTGACATGGACCAGATATCAGAACTAACATCATCATGTACCTCCTCTTGTTACATAGCCATGGGGAAAGGTTGTAGATAGTTAACAACATGGGCCAGACACTATGTGAGCTACTCATGTTACCAAATGGGTTCATGCCATCCATGCTGAGTGCAAACCGAAGATTCCTTGGCTCATTAGCAAAAGTTGGATTCTTGAAATCAATGACCCGCCACTAAATACCATCTGTTGGGTGCTGTATATAATCATCAACCGTCCACCCATCTGAGTGCCAGCTCAACAGTCGTGCATCCATGGAGGTTGCAAACAAACGTTTCAGGCAAGGAATTAGAGGGAAATACTAAGCAACCTTCCTAGGAACTCTACGACGCGTCTCCTCGCTGACATCACCCTCGTCAGTTCTTCGCTTGTAACAAGAGGTCCCACACTTGGGGCATTCAGTGAGGGCTACATTGTCACCACGGAATAGGATGCAGTCATTCTTGCAAGCATGAATTTTCTTGAACTTCAATCCCATCAGACAAACAATCTTCTTGGCCACATATGTAGTCCTGGGTATCTGATTCCCCTCAGGAAACATATCTCCAAGCACTTCTAGAAATTCTCTAAAGCCCTTGTCAGTCCAGTGATGTGCCACCTTTAGTTGGAGAAGCTTTAGTGAAGCGAACAACTTCGTATACCTCTCATTGCAACTCGGATAGAGTGGTGTCTTTATATTTTCTGACAACTGTTTCATCTTCTTCAACTCCGCACTAGTGTACTCATCAAAGCCAAAGGCATAGCGCACCATCTCCTCTAGATTCTCAACCATAGGGACAGGGCTGACAGCAATCACTACTACATCATCATCACATAGTTCCTCATTGCCAAAGGGTGCTTCCTCCCCACCGGCACAAGTTCATGAAGTCCTTCCTCACCATCTTGGTCATTGACACCTTCTTCTCCATGTTTGTTCCAACATCTGTAGTCATCCATAAAAGCCTCAGAGAATTAGGTGGCCATGGACCGAGAATGAATTCGAGTATTGCTTCTCATTCTTACGGTCAACACATGGGCATAACATAGATGACTTATGTCCATTCCTCATGTATGCCTCAGCAACAGCTAGGAAATATTTCAGTCCTTCCAAGTACTCATCACAAGTACGGTTCTTAAGATACATCCAGTGGCCTCGATCCTCCATAGTCTACAAAAGAAGATTGAAAATGGAAGAATATAAGCAAATTCATCAATGCTTTAGTAATAAAAATCATATTTTTTCAGTAGACTTAGTTCACAATGCAAGTTTCACACAAGCAAATTCATCATAGTTCCACACAGGCTCATAAAAGTTCTTGCTGAGCTCACCACTGTTGACAGAGAAGCACATGCCAGAGAACAGGAGGCCGAAGAGCAAAGCACGCCGGGGACCAGGGAGGAGAGCTGAGCACGCCGGTGATCCCCTGTAGCTCGAGATGACGAAGCACGGTCAGAGCACGCCTGATTAAGTACACTGCAGAGATGAAAGAGTTAGAGTCAGACTCGAGCTTGACCGTGGCCATGGCGGTGCAGCGCAGAACGGTGGTGCGGCGGTGCTTTGGCCTATATAGCACGGTAGATGTTAGTCTAAGGGCTCAGGAAGCATTAGCAGCTCACCACGATGTCAATGCGCTACTTGGTTGAACTAGGGACAAGGCGGAGCTAGATGGCCGGCGGTGATGCCACGTGCGGTGGCGTGAACTAGTGGCGAGGTGGCCGTTCAGGCGCGACCTGGGCGGTAGAGGTAAACAAATGGAGCCAATGAGCATCACGGAGTTGCATGGGAGCTAAAACAATAAATGGGATGACGAGAGGAGCTCCGGAATGAGGTAGCCACGGCGAGGTGCCTATGATGGCCATGGTGGCACGGCCGCGGTGTCAACCGGCGCCGAAGGCGATTGCAGCGGCGAGAGGTGGCTACAGCGGTTCGAGGAGGACCATAAGAACTAGGCGGAGCTGGAAGCATGGGCAATTGGGCAAAGATGGAACAACGACGATGAATTTCGCCATCGAGCGGCGCGGCGGTGCTCCGGCAAAGAACATGGAAAGAGAGGAGCACTGGCGGCTTGAGCTTAAGACTTCCTCACCTACGCGGAGAGCACGGCCTGGCCACCGGCATTCTGGAGGAGACCAAAGCACACCTGGCCACCTACGTGGCGCGGCCCTACGGCCGCCCACCGCCACTAGCTACAGCAGCGAGCCCCTCCGGCCTACCGCCTGCCACAGCAGCGTGCCCCGCCGGCTGTCGCGCGCCCCTCCTTCAGCTGCCCACCTGTGCACCGCGCATCCGCCCGCCGCCCGCATGCGTGCGCTCGCACGTCTGCTTGCCACCCGCCAACTCCGCCGGCACGCCTCAAAGCCGCAGGCCTACGCCGCGCGCGACCACGGTCGGCACAGCCCGCATGAGAGCCGCGCAAGAGCCCACAGCCACTAGTTGTTGTGTTTCGTACGCGCCAAGTTCCCTCTGCCCATTAGCACGTGCCAACGGCTAAGTACGCAGGCAAGTACTATAGACGCGCGTACGGAACACACATCTGCCATAAAGTACAGACACGTATAGAGTAGGCCGCGTCTGCTACAAGCAGGAATACTAGAGACGCGTGTTGGAAACACGCGTCTGCAACATCTTACGCGTCTGCAATAAGAGATCTTACTACAGACGCGTGTCTCGTACACGCGTCCGTAGGGTTTGATCCCATTATCCGAGACTCGAAAATCACAACACGCGTCTGTAATAATTGATGCAGATACTGACGTGTTACATAAACGAGCGTCTGTAGCTTTGTCACGGACACGTTTTACCAACACGTGTCTGTAGTAAGTGCTTATTATAGACGCGTGTTGACCTCGTCGGACCGACGACCCCATCGGCGACTTACTACAGACGCACGTCAGGAGCGCGTCTGTAGTTGAGCTACTGCAGACGCGCTTAAGTGCTGGCGTCTGTGGTGACGTGGTGGATATATGGCTTTTTTACATAGTGAGATAAATTTTTCATGAATAATAGAATCTTGGGGTTGCAATATGTAATGGGAGTTTCTTGGTTCTTTTTTCCTTTGAATTCAAGCTTGGCTCTAAGACCTAATTGAGCAAGCTCATGCGCAGATGAGTTACACACTCGTGATACATGCAAGAGATTTGAACAAACAAAGCAATCGTGCAGAAGCTTCTGAATGTCCCTCAAAAGCCTTCCACTTGGAGCTATGTCCCTTGAGGAAGTTCTTATTGCCTCCTCTAGTTGCCATGAGTCCTCCTGCACGATACTGGAGATGTTATCCTGTCCAGCTACTTCGAGTGCTCTCATACAATACAAGACACTGTCTCCACCATCATCAACGCATCATAAACCGCGGCACTGCATTGCCAGCACCTTCTAGTCTAGTACAGATTCTCCCAGGGAGAGGGAGTCCCCGGTGATGAAACCCCAAGCGCATGTTTTAGTGTCCCCAGAATAGCGCCATCCATGTTAATTTTCAGCCACTCTTGTGGGGGCGGCTCCTAGCATTGGCGACGCGCGTGTCACAACAGGTGGATCCTCCCTTCGTATTTCTTTTTGCAAATCCCGCATCGTCATGGGTATCACACGTGCAACTTCCTAGCATGACAATTGCTTCTCTCTGGCATTGACTTTGTTCTGCACATCCCACCACTTCTAGAGTAGCAGCACAGTTTTTATGCAAGGCTGCGTCTCAGCTTCAGTATCTCCTGAACAAGTTCCCTCGATGACTGCATCTCATGTTAATTACTTCACACTCACGGCTTCAATCTACAACTCTCACCTGCACTCTCTAGCAAATTTACATTTCACAAAACAATGCCCGCTTGGTATCCAATTCGATGCCACGACATCTTTTGATATTCATCCTCAGTGGGACATTTCATCAGCGCGACCGATCACACCGACAAGTAGTGCCCCTGCTCCAAGCCCGCAAGCATGCCTAACCACTTCGACAAACTGGTGGAGGGCCCACCCGAACCACACTATGGTCCCATCAAGCACGTCTACCACTCTACCAGGACTGTAAGCTCCTGAAAAAATTGGGTCCTCCGTGGCAACCTCAAGTCCAAAGCGGACAAGAAGAATGATAGGGAGGCTTTTTGGGAGTCAAATGGGGTCATGATCATAGGGCCAGTTGCGTCGAGTCTAGGTGGCAACAGAAGTTCACTCTCCTTGACATCGTCATGGTTGAGCTAGTCGTTCCTTCACGCCTTCGATGGTTCAATTCGACCATCATGTTAGACCACATAGACCATCTAGATCACATCCCCCAACTAGGGAGATTCCAACTCATCGTTGACCCAATCATCAGGGGTAAGTGCCCATCGAGGGTGTTGATGGATGGTGGCAGCAGGCTCAACATCCTTTACAGCGATACACTCAACTCTATTGGAATCATGTGCTCCCGCATTTGACTAGAGAGGCCACCGTTTCATGGGGTGGTGCTCGGCAAATAGGATACCCCCCTTGGTAGATCGATCTGCATGTCACCATGTCACTAACAACCCAGGCACCTACCACGCCATCTTACACTGCCTGTGTTACGCGAAGTTCATGGCCATCTCCAACTACACCTACATCAAGTTGAACACGTTGGGCCCGAAGGGCGTCATTAGCATTGGTGCTAGCTTTCAGAGATTGCATCACCATGCACAGTTGAATATTAGGTTGAGCCTTTGCACCCTTGACTCCCTTTCTTGGTGATCCTAACTCTTGAAAGATCTTCAATCCTTGGGTCCTCTCTTGCAATACTTGACCCCTCCACAATCCACTTGACCTTGAGTCCCTGATTGCTTCACTTCACCTCTTGATTGATCTCCTTCTTCAACCTTGATTTCTTTGATCATCTTGTCATCGACCATTTGGGATGTCTCTATTCTTCAAGCATCATGGCATAGCGTTAACGATCTTCCAATCCATATGCTAACCATACATGCAAAGATGTCTTGCTTCTCCATTAATGCTTTACGAGTTACGACACTTCATCTTCAAGCTTGGTCTACCATAAAACCTTTTTCTCAAAATACACATGTTAGTAAAAAAAGCGATGTTGTCATTAACCACCTAAAGCACATACCTGAGGAGCCTAGAAGCTCATACCAATGTATATACTTCTTGGACTTGATCAGCCAGTGTGTATAACATGATCATGTGTGCACAGCTTGCAATATTCCATCATGCAACTTCTTGTGTCTTATGTCTTCATGCTTTGCTTCAGCTTCAATTCTGTGGTGCTTCACTAAACACACTTGTACATTGCCCTTGTGTGAGTATATACTTCTTGCACCCATGTTGAAAAGGACTTTGGCTCTTGCAATCTTCTACCCTCGTGCTATGCATGTGTTCCCTTAATCCAATTAACATAAATTATTTTCCCACTTTAGGTGACTTCTCTTGTACCGCATACATGGAAACTGTTAAAACATTAAACAAGTTATTCCTATTGACTATGTTATCGTTCAATCCCAAAATATATGTCCAAATTTCGACCGTATTTGTGACAAACGAACCCTACCTTGCAAAATCATTTGTGCAAGTTGTGAAGCCAATCAAGAGATAGCCAACTTGGGCACATTGAAAACGACCAGCAGCACAACACCAGCACGGCCACAGGTAAAATTCAGGATGTATGATAATTGAGTTGAACCAAATGGTGGCCAAAATCTTGAACGGTGGCCAACGGCAGGCAAACCATGCAAATCAACAAACAGACTTAATCGCTTGTGCGGCCATTTATCGAAACAAGAGCAGCGAGGAATGGATTCATAACTATGCAGAACAGGTGCGACTTTTGGGATGAACAAAAACAAAGTCCATTTAGCTCATCAAATAAACAATTACATGTATAACTTATTTTCGTTACTTTTTACATTCGAATTCCTTTACATGCATATCACTTGCATTTGCCCTCTTTCAGCTTACATATTGTTTCTGGAGCAAGTTGGCACAGAAATCCCAATCGAAGTGCACTTCTGGTGGGTCACCAATGCAATCGAACACAGCATCCGCTGTCTCAAAGTCCTCTTCTGCAGTGTAGCTGAAAACATATTTATGGTACATCTGATTACAAAATGAGCATCAAAACTGTAATCTGAACAATCAACAAAATGTGTCCTAAAAATATCATAACACAGAAGTAAAAGAAAATTATAATTTAGATAAATATAAGACTTTTTTCTGAAATAGAAAAATATAAGAATTAAATAAAATTTGATAAATAAACCAACATATGGATGATATTGATTCAAATATCGAGCAACAACACTTTACATCTGTTACATTATAGATATTTAATGTGCAACACATTGCGTGCAAGAAAATTATATCGATTACAACTCAAGAAGAGCATATTGTGTATACAACACAAAGGCTACATGAATTTGGCATTTCATCTCATATACTAGTCAGATTAACACCTTCATTAGAAAGGTCTACCAATTGTTGTCAAGTTATAAAGTATGAGGGTTGAAGTGTTTCGAAGAAGAAAATTTGTACCCGCTTTTTTGTTACGATACACTTCATGCCGGCAGCTTTTGCCGCTGCAAGCCCTATAGTACTGTCTTCAACAACAACACAGCTGCATATAAAAGAAGCATGATTAGAAAAAAAAGATATAAGGGATTATGGAAACATCCTAACATTTACTAATCATGTAGACTGCAATGATAGATCGAGTAAATTTAAAAAGTGTAGAAGTACATTGACAAAGAATAATACAGTTTGCGCTAGTAGCCTAACTAAACCAAGTTAATTATAAGCTGTTTAAATATGGAAAAGCTAGCAACGCTAAAAAGTTACCACATTATTCCTTGCAATGATATTTGTGAAAGTAAACTCCGCCTATGTTGTCTCAACATAGCAGGTCCCAAGCCCTGATAAAGAAGGAAGATTGTGATAGGCGTGGCGAGCCAACGTTAAATCTAGCCATTCTAATGGAGATGAAACCCAAAAGAAAACCGTTGGGGTGTAACCCTCTTAGCGACACGCCATATCGGAATCCGGTATGGTGTTAAATGGGCAAGGGCCGGGTCGGCACCCCCTTGGTGACTCGCCGTGTCGCGATCTGGGCATGGTGTTAAGTGAGCAAGGATCGGGTTGTCGCTTCCTTAGTGGCGCGCTACATCAGCGTCCGGGTGTAGTGAAAAATGAGCAAGGGTCTTCACATCTGAGTCGATGGGTGCGAAGGGTAAGGAAGCTAGTCAAACCAACTAGGATCCGTTTAGGTAGTTGGAATGTAGGGTCGCTTACAGGTAAATTAAGAGAATTAGTTGATACTGCGACTAGAAGACATGTAAATATATTATGCGTTCAAGAGACTAAATGGAAGGGTCAAAAGGCGAAGGAGGTGGACAATACAGGGTTCAAGGTTTGATACACAGGGACAGTCACGAATAGAAATAGAGTAAGAGTTTTGATTGATAAGAGCCTCAAGAATGGTGTGGTGGGAGTGAGAAGGCAAAGAGATAGGATTATCTTAGTCAAGCTTGTCGTTGGTGATGTGGTCTTGAACGTAATTAGTGCGTATGCCCCCTAAGTAGGCCTCGATGAAAGTGCTAAGAGACAGTTCTAGGAAGACTTAGATGGCCTGATTAGAGCTGTACCTAGTAGTAAGAAGCTTTTTATAGGAGAGATCTTAATGGGCATGTAGGTACTACAAACGCGCAGAGTTTGAGAGACAGTTCATGGAGGTTTTGGGTATGGTAGTAGGAATCAGGAGGGGGGGGAAGTTCTAGACTTCGCGGTAGCTTTTGACCTGATGATAGCCAACACTTTCTTTAGAAAGAGAGAATCTCATCTAGTGACCTTCAGTAACGGACAACACTCTAGCCAGATTGACTTTGTCCTCGCAAAAAGAAAGGACAAACAAGCATGCTTGGGTTGCAAGGTGATACCAGGAGAGTGTGTTCTTTCTCAACATAAGCTTTTGGTGGCAGACTTTCGTTTTTAGGTGCGTACCCGTAGGGATAAACAAGTTAAGATTGAAAGAACAAAGCGGTGGAAACTGAAAGGGGAGACGTTAGAGGTATTCAGGGAAAGGGTTATCAAAGAGGACTCTTGGGAGGAAGAAGAGGACATAAACAACATGTGGGAGAAGATGGCAACCAACATTCGAAAGATGGCCTCAGAGGTGTGTGGAGTAACCAAAGGAAGTGGAGGCGAGGCTAAAGATACTTGATGGTGGAACGAGGAAGTCCAAAGGGCTATTAAGAAGAAAAAAGAATGTTATAGACGCTTGTACCATGACAGGAGTGTGGACAACATAGAGAAGTACAAGATAACAAAGAAGACTGCAAAGCGAGCTATAAGTGTAGCAAAGGGTAGAGCGTACGAGGATCTTTACCAACATTTGAGTATGAAGGAAGGAGAGAAGGACATTTATAGGATGTCTAGGGTTCGTGAGAGAAAGACAAGGGACTTCAACCAAGTTAAGTGTATTAAGGATGAAAGAGAGCATCTCTCGGTGAAGGAGGATGAGATCCGACATCAATGGCAATAGTATTTTGACAAATTATTCGATGGTGAGAATACGGACACAACCTTTCAGTTGAATGACTCTTTTGATTACACCAATAGACGCTTTGTGCGGAGAATCCAAGAATCTGAAGTCAGAGAGATGTTGAAAAGGATGAAAGGAGGTAAGGCGATGGGACCGGATGGTATCCCGATCGAGGTGTGGAGATGCCTCGGGGACATAGCTATAGTATGGCTAACCAAGCTGTTCAACCATATTTTTCGATCGAGCAAGATGCCTGACGAGTGAAGAAGTATATTGGTACCGATCTACAAGAATAAAGGGGATATTCAAAGTTGTACTAATTATTGGGGAATTAAGTTGATGAGCCATACTATGAAGCTATGGGAGAGTTATCGAGCATCGCTTGAGAGCAATAACGCGGGTCTCTATGAACCAATTTGGTTTCATGCCCGAAAGGTCAACCATGGAAGCTATTTTCTTAATAAGACAAGTTATGGAGCGGTATAGGGAGAAGAAGAAGGACCTACACATGGTTTTATTGACTTGGAGAAGGCTTATGATAAAATACCAAGGAATGTTATGTGGTGGGCTTTGAACAAACATAAAGTCCCAACGAAGTACGTCGGACTCATTAAGGACATGTACAACAATGTTGTGACTAGTGTTCGAACAAGTGATGGAGACACGGATGACTTCCCGATTAGGATAGAACTACATCAAGGGTCAGCTTTGAACCCTTATCTATTTGCCTTAGTGATGGATGAGGTCACAAGAGACATAAAGGGGACATCCCTTGGTGTATGCTTTTCGCGGACGATGTAATGCTAGTTGATGAAAAAGAGTGAATTAGAAACTAGAGTTATGGCGGGAGACTTTGGAGTCCAAAGGTTTTAGACTCAGTAGAACTAAAACTGAGTATATGAGATGTGACTTCGGCACTACTACTCGGGAGGGGGAAGATATTAGTTTGGAAGGTCAAGTAGTGTCTAGGAATGATACATGTCGATATTTAGAATCAATGCTATAGAGAGACGGGGATATTGATGAAGTTGTTAGCCATAGAATCAAAGCAGGGTGGATGAAGTGGCGCCAAGCATCTGGTGTCCTATGTGACAAAAGGGTACCACAGAAGCTAAAAGACAAGTTTTATAGGATGACGATTAGACCTGCTATGTTGTATGGTGCAGAATGTTGGCCTACGAAAAGACGATATGTTCAAAAGATAAGTGTCGCGGAAATGCGTATGTTGCGTTGGATTTGTGATCATACAAGAAGGGATCGAGTTCGGAACGATAACATACGTGATAGATTAGGGGTAGCACCAATTGAAGAAAAGCCTATCCAACACTGGTTGAGATGATTTGGACATGTCCAACGGAGACCTCCAAAGGCACCGGTGCATAATGGAATCCTAAGCCAGGATAGTAACGTGAAGAGAGGCAGAGGAAGACCGAAGTTGACTTGAGTAGAGGAAATAAAAGGAGACTTGAAAGGATGGAATATACCCAAAGACTTAGCCTTAGATAGGAGTGCTAGAAAAACAGCTATTCACATGCCTGAACCTTGATTGCTTCTGCTGGGTTTCAACTCTAGCCTACCCCAACTTGTTTAGGACATAAAGACTTTGTTGTTGTTGTTGTTGTTGTGATATTTGTAAAAGTAATAGAATTTGTACAAAAATTGTTCCAAACATATCTTTCAGTACCTTTGTGGATCAACTCCGAGTGTAGTTGCTGCTAATATGTAGATTGCCTGAAAAGAAGCATAAAAAACACATAATATCTGATATAGATAAAGGATTTTTCCCAAGTGTAATACACAAATTGTATGTTAGGTAAATAGCTACTTGAGAAAAGGTTATATTTCTGTCTTAAACAAATATAACTAATCTTGGGCAGCCACACGCATAGTGTAATGTGGTACCATATCAGGGACCCTTTTGGTGGCACCAAGCCTAAGTCACAAGTCGTTATCATAGTCTATTTACATTTTCCAAAACATTATTTCAAGTAAATAACTCAACAGGGAAAAATGAACTAATGTTTTGAGTTCATTAAAATGTCAAATCAACTTACGGGGTCAGGTTTTTTGCGAGGAACCACATCTCCAGCAAATATGGTAATCTTTTCACCTCTATCAGGCCCTAATAAGTATGACAATATTGCTGAAACCTGTAATCAGGAAAGAAACAGCTATAATTTGGCCTGCTTTTTGATCAATAATCTGCCCTGCTTTAGTTGGCATAAAATATGTTTCTTAATTATCGGTGATTGGATGTTAAGAGAGTGTAAATCTTGGTCTGGTGACCTAAAATAACTGACAAATAGTAAATATTGGATGGTAGAAATTGTAGTGACATCTTATAATGCTGCTAAATTTGCATTAGGCAGCTTATTTATTTTCATAAATTTTTAACATTCAAGTTAGAAAAAAATAAAATTATTTTTATATATTGCAGGAATAAAAAATATTATTAGAGAAAATGTTTCATTTGAACCGCAAAATTGGCAAAAGGCTTTTCCTAAGTAGGGATGATATATGGAAATTTACAGATGTAGTGCCAAGGAAAGGTAAGGATCTAGAATGAGAAGTACTGGTTGAAAATATCAGCTAAATTTCAACACTTCCCTTTCATTGTTTGAATTTTGTTATTTGTTAGGTGTCCTGCTAACAGATCAAATGAATTTGTCATAACTTCAAACATTTCACCAACCAATAATTTTCTGCAGGATAAAAGTTGCAAGAAACTGTTGTCCCAGATGTGGAGATATCTATAGTAACTCTAACTGCATATAGCTAGTAAAAGCACTTGCAGGTGGAAAATACTTAATGACTTACAGCTTTCTCATTTGATGTACTGCACACTGCAACTTTAACTGCCTTTCCTAAAGCTTCATCGATTAACCTGTAAAGTTGAAAATTAATCTAGAAGGTATTCGACTAGCTTAAAGGTTTTAGCTTGTGTTCTCATGATGAAGCTTCAGATTTAGGTTTCATTGGTGTCTTTTTCTAGTGCATGTACCATGGACTTCAACAAAAGACATGAAGTTCTTAAGTTTGCAATTTCACTGATCCAAAGCAGTTTCACCTCGTTTCTTATACTTTTGCCCTTATAGTTTGAAAGTGTAATTAGATTCTAAATCATTAAAAGGACAAATAAAGTTTCCCAAAGTATAAATGCCTTGACCATACCATAAGGGTTTTAACTTTCATATTCTTTTGGTCATGATCGTTCATAGGTTAATACAAAATAAGATAAAAAAACTATTTTAGTATAACCAAAAGTCCACTTTGTGTGCTTGATCCCAAAAACATTTCAGTTCAATTTACTCCAAAGTATTTCAGTTTGTTCAATCTATCCCCTAATAAGACACCATACATTTGAGTTTTAAGTTCAAATTTTGTAAGGTGGTAGAGGAACATGACTTCTAGTGTTAGAAAAAGAAGACGTTTCCATGCATTTTTGTATCTCTTGGGTTAGTGCTACATGTTACTACACGAAATTAAAAAAGCATTTGACATAAAGACTATCATTTTGATGTTACGAGTGACATAAACATTTTAATTCCCCATTATGTTGTATGGCAGCAAGTCAAATCACTTATGTTCAAGCAGAAAGAAATATTTCTGAATGTCACAACTTATAGGTTCATTTAAACTTAGTTAAATTGTAAGGCCAACAAATTGTTGGACATATTGACCTTTGAACACCTGGACGGAGAGGAAGCAACTTTTTCTCAATTAGGGCCATGAATAATTCTGTTTTCCTCTTGTGAAGAGAAGCAATGAACTCCTTTCTTTCCTCATCAGTCTTTGGTGCTTTAGCTGGCCATCCTGTCTGGTTGAAGTAAGCTGTCATCCTGAAAACAAACACTTACAATTGAATAAAAAAAATCAATGATTAATATATCATAAATATTTCAAGTCTAGTAGACCTTGAAATACGAATAATTGTTTAGTTTGATGACACATTGGCCAATCAATCATCCTATATTCTGCTTAAACCTTTGTCTTTTGCAATTTAGTTGCTTCTTTTTAAAAGCAAAAGATTTATTTAGAGTTACAGATTGATGATTGAACTTTTGATATCAATTTTTCTATTAGGTCAATGAAAAAGATGGAATAAATTTGTGTGTTTGTACGGAATTCTTTACTATTGTCAGTTGCTGCTAACTTAGAGCTTTAGTTTTTCTATGATGGAAAGTTTCGAATATGATGAGCATATTTTGTGGAGATACTTTCATAATATTTTAACAATTAATCACCTACATTTTGCTCTTATCAGTTGATAATAAACACATGGACTAAACAGTCCCTAGGAGCAATATTTCATTAAATTTACACTAGAGATGGAAAACGGTCAGAAAACTTTTGAAACCATGGACTGATTACTACATGCTAGTTGAGTATTTGTAATAATATTTAAAAAGCCTGATAATCAATATACAAGTAATAAAACTGAATAAAGTGAAAATTCATTACATGAACAATTAATGTTAACATATGCATCTGTCTTATGAGACTAAAATCAAATAAATGTATCTAAGAAAATTTTCAATTGGATATGTGTCTCATGCAGAGAGTTTGGGTTTATGATTTTCCATTCAAATTTAGAATTAGTGATTGTAGAGTTCTGTCTTCTTACTAGATCATGCTTCTTATAGGTGATAAAATAGATGCGAAGAAATGTTAAAAACCAAAGTAAAGTGCTATCTCCTTAATTTCTTAGTATCACATTGGATGTAAATGTTTCTCGTGGACACTAAGATAATTTGAAAAGCTAAATGATCATGATATGAGAAGAGTAAATAGAAGAGTGACCTTTCCTTTCCACCACCTATCTTGAGCAATTCTCCATACAGTTCAACATCCCAACTCACACCTAATTCCCTCTGTAAATATCAAAAAACTTGATCACACACACTTTGAAACAACAAGAATCAGTAGATTTAGTTCTTTTAGTGGCATCTCTTAGATTTAATCAATGATCCACAAGAACATGCATTAGTCCTTTTATCCTTTAATATCAAGAACAGACTAAGCCTTCTCACTAAACCACATTACCAGTCAATATAAGCCTTTTGATCATATCCATGTTTAAGTTTTGATGCAGGATACATCCATCCAAGCAGGCCCATCAAAGTGCGACGAATTGCCACTTATTTATGCAATTCACCATTTTAATTAAGTGCTATGTATCGTCTCAATGACATGTCGAAATGATGATCTTTTAACTAAAAATTCCTACTATACATTATCTAATATGGCCCGAGGCAAGCACATGAAGAAAATACATAAAGGCAAGGGGCTCCTCCATGTAATGCATTTCTTAAATGCACAAACCACTTAGGCAAAGGGCAATTTGCTATAAAATGTCCTCGATGAGCCAAGCCATCTCTCATTAGGGATGCAAAGCGACCTAGCCTGTGAACCCACATATAGGCTTAATTTTGTGGTTTGCTGCAAGTGCCCAGTGGCAAAACTAAAAGGCAGAGATGGCTTTAATCATTGCCTCATCTCCTTCGGTACACGAAAAAAAAACTTCCCGTTAACTGAGCACCGGATATACAGGTTTTGTTCATCTTTTCTGTTTTTTCTCTGTTTCTTCTTATGTTTGTAACAAATCTCTAGCTATCCCTTTTCATCATATATAAATTCTAGTCGGTAAGAGGAAACCCCTCTTTTTTATTAAGGAAAAAAACTCCTTTTTGCGATATAAAAACCCTCCTATTTTTAGTTAAAACAAAATAAGCTTCACAGCATTAATGCAATTGTCAGCTTCCAACCATAGCAATTCAGCCTGTTCGGTTGGCTGGTTCGTATTGTTGCTGGTTCGTTTATGTGAGAGAGAAGTACTGCTGGCTGGTTCGCGTAAATAGTAGCCATGTGAGGGGTTGGCCAGCCAGCCCAGCCAGCCCCAGCCCAGCGATCAGGCTGAAGACTAATTAACATGAACCCTGCATTGTTGAAAGAAGATGGACCCAGGTCCCATATTATACGAATATAAATATACCATTATTTCAAAATTTCATCAGATGCATATTATTCCAAGGCATGGTCTCAATCAATCATTACAGGTCAACTGCGCTGCAGGACAAATTTGTCAGAAGAAAACAAAGAATGGTCCGTGAGCCATCGGTTTAAATAACTAGGAGCATAGGAACCACAGAAAAGATCAACGTGGGAGGTGCAGCCGCATCAGGAAAATGGAGATGAACGGGAGTATCGATGGAAGGAACCGGACCTCGGCGAATGTTTCGTTGAAGGAGATGCGGTGGCCGTCCTTCTCGGTGTCCACCAGCACACCGTTGCAATCGAACAGCAGCGCCGCCGGAAGGGCACCTGCCGGCGCACCCCCATCGCCTGCCGCTGCCGCGTGCGCGACCGCTGCTCTCCACCCACTCACGGTCCGGATGCAGCAGGCAACGCCGCTTGGGATGAGCTGCTGACCGGCGGTGACTGGGACGGGGCGCGCGACAGAGATGTTGCTTGCCCGCAGCAGCGTGGATGATGCTGCGGCGGCGGCGGCGGCTGCCGCCATTGACATGGTTTCTTTGAGCAGGAAAAGGTGGTGGGTAGATGGGTGGATATCGCGCGCTTGTGGGTTGTGGCTGAAGATGCGGGCGTGAGGATTTTAGGGGTGAAGCACTGTTCATGTTTCGCCCTCTTCTTTCGGGGGCATTTACGTATTTACCGCTATTACGGATGATATCTTACACTGTATCATTGACACATGAGTCACTGATATGATATATCTTATACCACTCACATCGCCATGATGGTAAATATGTAAATATTCCCTTTTTTGATGTGGAAAAAGTCCATAACCCCTAATTATTGGACCTGGCATACTTAATCTCCCTACCTACAAAACCGGATATTTAGCACTTTAAACTTTGTCAAACCATCTGATTTAGTCCCTGGGGTGGTTTGGGTGGACGGTTTTGCGGACGTGGCGTTCCAGCGTGGCAGCCGCGGCCACGCTGGCGTCCAGCCCCACCTCTCTAGGCAGCCCATCAAAAGAATACACGTCCCCACGCTCCCTTTCGGTCTTTGTCTCCCTCTTCGCCCGCGCAGACAGACACGCCCTCGTTCTCTTCTCCCTCTCTGACGACACGAGCAGTGCGGCGATGATAGGGAGCACGCCACGGTGATTGGAGTCCTGCACGTCAATCAGGTCCGCACTTGCTACTCGTAGACCCAATTTGGGATTTTGATTTGCGCTAGGTCAGAATGCATAGCATTGATTTTGGGGGGAATTGGGGTTTTCGTTGCAGCTGTTGATTAGGGATACAAGGCGTCATATGGGTGATTTAGGCGGAGTGGTTGAGCAGGCGGGTAGAAATCTTTGATGTGGTTTAGCCAGTTGTTACCGTCGTGCATTTGTTAGGGTTTGGTGCATGTGTTGGTTGTAGTTCTTTTAATTTTAGAGCATGTTTGTCGTTGGTAGGATGGATAATCTGAACAAAATGCTCATAAGATTTCACTTTGGTAGGGCTTTTACCACCGTGGGTGGCTCCCTGTTCTATGTTGGTAGAGGCATTGCTGAATCATGAATAGATGAGGACAAGTGTTGACACCAGAGGTGGCACACAGAATTGACCTGTCGACGGCGAAAAGTGACGGATCGTTCTCCGCCGTCAACACACAGTAAGCCGGGAGAAACCACGTGGAGCAGATCTCGAGCTCTCCCTGGACTTAGGACACCGGACCGGATGGTTGTGACCTAGGGTGTGCGCCCCTGTAATTGACAAGGAGACAAGATTGATCAGTAATTTAAGGTGAAACATGCTGGTGTTTGTCCAAACAGTTCCAAATGTGCGGCTAAGTAGCCAATGATACAAGGCTATCGACTAGAGAGTCGATATCCAGCATGTTCATGATGCATGATAAACAAATGAACATATCGGCAATTATCAGTTACTCAATTGCATAGATCTAAACAGCCGATGATCATGAAAACATGCAAAAAGGTGTAAGAAGTAGACGTGGAAGCATTAAATGAGAAACATACTAGCTTTTAACCAAGACAAAAACAAGTAAAAGCATGTAAATAGCCAATATATTCTCAATATACGGGCTATCGGCTAAAATAGCCGATCCCGATGAAAGAAGACTCATAACATGCAAACACTCAACCATTAAGCGTGGATAAGTCCATACACCTATCGAATCTAATCTATTATCTCTAATAGTGGGTTACAAGCCGGACCGATGCAACCATGATAGAGATAACAGGTTAAACCCTCAAAGCATACGAATCTATACGCGCTTAACCAAATCATGAAAGCATGCTACGATCGTGGAAACATAGGCGATCGACTAAATAGCTGATGCAGACATAGCATGCAGCTAGAGGGTATGTTTGACCATAAGTAAGACTTGCTATTTAACGATGTTCGATCTATAGTGCTAACAGTGGGGGTCAATCGGATTGATGGCAGCCATAATAGCAGTTCTAGACCAAATTTCATTAACTAGCAATATTTACTTAGGGTTAAACACATCCTGACCACATGCTATCTTCGATCAAGATTGGATCAAAACGGCTAAATTGACCGAAACCATAGTCATAGCAAAATGTAAACACTAAAGAGCAACAAAACGATGATTAAAAGAGATGTAAAGCCGATATGTTTCAATCTTAACCGGACAAGGGGTGATTTTGTTACAAATAGTAAGAAACTAATTATAACAAGATCGATAACAAGCAAATCTATTAAAAACAACAAGGAAACTCTACCGATCTTAATAGATTTAGCCGATAACTAATCCGTATCAAAATTTGTATGAGATACGAGCCGAACCAATGTAATCGTACAAATTTTGATAAGAACCAAGGGTAACTTGTATCAGATAATTGTAAGAGATACGAGCCGGACCAATGCAACCTTACAATTAACTGATGATAACTAACTTATACCGTGCTTGTAAGAGGTCAAACTTAATCGATGGCAGCCTTATAAACAAAATATAAGTCATGACGGATACTCATAGACAAACCGGAGGTCACACTTAACCGATGGCAGCCCTGCTTGCCAAAGAACTCACCAAGATCTACTCTACTCCTACTCCTAGAGGGTGGCGTAAGCCAAAAAGTAAAGGTACTAGTTTTTGATTGATCACTGAGATGTCTGTTACAATAGCCGGAGTTCAATATTTATACCCGAGGCTTGACTATGAGTCCTGGTCGAACAAGACTGATCTTAAACTTGGAAAAGAAAATAAAGCTTCCTCAATTACAATAACATGGACCTCAATCTTTCCTTTCTATGAAGTCCGACATGTCTTCTTGCTTCGTGCCTTGTTGTTCTTGACAACGGGGCCCATTCCCTTGAAATGATGGCGTCATCTTATCCAGTTGATGGCAATTTAGTTAGCCAATCTTGCTGAATACTTCAGCTTTCGTTGATAAGTTTCCAACTTTATGGCCTCCTCATCTCGAACCAAATTTTGGTGTCAACATAACCGCAAGCGCACGGCTGTCAGAGTAGCTTTCACCTAAGAGTATTCCTAGGGTATCGAATCCATGGGGAACGTGAAGTGATAGAAATCTAGACTTAGAAATATCTAGGGGTGGTGAAGATGAAAAGGAGGACTTAACACTACTAGGAATATCCACTTGTACGACGAATAGTTTTTATCACTGAAGGAGCTAAATTCCTCATAATTTAAGTTTTATAACGAATTTATGATGGAAAATGGTTCGTCATAGAAGTCACGTCATACTTGAACTTTTATGACAAATCTAGAAAATCGTCATAGAAGTGGCTTGATCTATGATAAAAAAAACTGACCGTAATAGAAGTGCTTTGGCATGCGTGGCAGGGGGCAGCCACGCTGGCGGATGCTTCCGTTGGAGATGCTTTCCACGTGTACATGCTATAGCCGGTTGCATTGGAGATGGTTTGGGTATGTGTCACCTTCTTATTGCACAACTCGACCATCTCTGGTTCTTGCATGTTTCAGGTTCTTGCTGGACGACGTGTTGGGCCCCTATTGTTCCACATGTCAGTTTCCTATTAATACACGTGTTGTGTTGTGGTTGGGTCACGTGTCACTTCTTTATTGGACCACGTGTCATATTTTTATTGGTCCACATAGCTGTTTCTTATTCAACCACGTGTCTTGGTGCTATCCGTCCATGTTTCATTTTTTGATTCGGTCATGTGGCTTGATGACTTCCTTCCATGTGTCAGATTTTTATTAGCCCACTTGTCATGTGTTGACAGTAGTTACCATTCGTCAAGAACCATCAATATAACTTGAAATCATGCATGAAAATGATAACCAACATAGACTTAGGGGGTTTAAACTGACAATTTCCACGAGTTTTGGTGAATCTATGTTTTCAGCTAGGTTTTTTTCCAAAAAATCATCAAGGAGGATCAAAACATCAAATAAAATCACGCTTATCCACAGCGAAAACTACCCTAGAAGGTTCCAAAAGACTCGAGAAGACAATACACCAAAGTGGAGACCGAGGCGCTACCACCTATAGGCCGGCCATCCCCTAGGGCCTACGTGTCAACCCTCGCTTCGTATGCCAGTTCTCCACTGCCTTAAGGATTGCATCTACGCCGTTTATTCAAGTCGGTTTGATCTGAGGGCTCAGGATTGATGCTCTGGCCTAAATATACTAGCCCCTGCCCTACTCCCTAAGGCATCTACCATAAGTCAAGATCAGATTAGAAATTAGGGTTTATAGAGAGAAGAGAATAGAGCTCTAATTCTTCAAGTTCTAGTATAGGCTAGCTAGCAGGATTTAAGTAGAGTTTGGGCTATTGCTCAGAATTCTGGATTCGCCGTCTAGAGGCCGATATATTCATTGTATCCCTCTTTATGTATGACTTTATGCTACTTCAATAATATGTTGATATTTATTATGTTCTTAGTTTGCTCTAATTATATGCTTGATATAGTTATGATTGATTATGAATACATGCATATGTTCGCAAAAAGCTTAGCTCAATACTCGAGTGAGTTAAGTGGTCGACATTATGTAAGCATGGTGCTTAAATAGTTTACATGTGGATGCATTCTACACTCTGGGTCATATGGTAGATCACGGATGTGACACTCCTGTTGAGTCCTTTATAGTCCACTCCCCGTTTATAGAGCAAGTAGAATCCGGTTGGGAAGGGAGTCAACCTCTGTTCTTGATCTTCCTTAGTAATGTTCCTTATGCATAGATACAGAGTTAATTATGCTATAGATGAGAGTGTACATACTTGAGTGTACAAAAGACAGTAAATATGGCATGACTTAGGAATCTTTTGCTCTTAAATAATCTCCTGCCTAGCCATACTATATTTATGAGTATCTATTCCTATCTCTAGATTACTATCAATGCCTTTCACTTATCATTTATTTATCATTTGACTTACCCCTGCTATAGCTTGAGAATTAATGATCTTGTCATAAGTATATATATTTAACAATATCTCTGTGCCAACCCCATAGCTCCTCCCTATGGATAATATAAATAATGATACCTGGCATACTCCCGGGTGAAATGCTATAATGGTATATTATCTGTGCACTTAT